TTTTATACAGTAAAATAGTTGTTCTAAAAAATTGTGTTCGGAATTTTTTGTTTATTTCGTCATTCCGCTGATATGGCGATTTCTTTGACGACTGCAATATATTTCTGAATTGTTTGAGTGAATTGCTCTTTATTTTTAAAATATCCAAAATTAAAAAAAAGCCGAACACAATTTTGAAACTGACGTCTTTAGCTATGTCCTGTGAAAATTTGAGAAAAATTGGTTAAAACCCGCAGGAGCACACCTCGTTTGAAAATCAGTAATTACCGTAAAATTTTTCGGGAGAAAATTGAATTTGAATATTACATTTTCAATGTTTTTCTTATTGCAGCGAAATGTATTTTATTAAATAACTCTGCGAGTTTTCAACATTTTTCGTTCAAACTTGGTCAGATAGTAGAAATAGTCTAATGTTTTCATGGAAACCAATAAAAAAATTTTAGGCAGAATTAACACTCAAAGGTGTTCTGTAACCTTAATGTAGACCTCATTGAAGAACATGTACTACCTCTGTATGATCTAACCATGCTTAACTTAACTCAGCAGTGAGTTCTTTACAACATCAGATCACTTTAAGGTAGCTCACATTCAAGAACATGCAGTGTTGTACTACCTTTGTATGATCTAACCATGCTTAACTCAGCAGTGAGTTCTTTACAATGTCAAATCACTTTAAGATTGCCCAATCAAGAACATGTAGTGTTGTACTACCTCTGCATTATCTAACCGATACTTAACTCAGCAGTGAGTTCTGTACAACATCAGATTACTTTAAGGTAGCCCTCAGTCAAGAACATGCACTACCTCTGCATGATCTAACCAGGCTTAACTCAGCAGTGAGATTTGTACAACATCAGATCACTTTAAGGAAGCCCTCAGTCAAGAACATGTACTACCTCTGCATGATCTAATCATGTTTAACTCAGCAGTGAGTTCTGTACATCAGATCACTTTAAGGTAGCCCTCATTCAAGAACATGTACTATCTCTTCGTGATCTAACCATGCTTAACTCAGCTGTGAGTTCTGTACAACATCAGATCACTTTAAGGTAGCTCACATTCAAGAACATGTACTATCTCTTCATGATCTAACCATGCTTAACTCAGCTGTGAGTTATGTACAACATCAGATCACTTTAAAGTAGCCCTCATTCAAGAACATGTACCATTTGAGCATGATCTAACCGTGTGAATATAATTCAAATTTCGTTTTCCAGACGTCACGAGAAATCAGATGAACCTCGACTTGCCCTTAAACATTTTGCAGCAGCGTTCAAGCTCTGTGACAATGATGCAAGGTTACGTGCGAAGATTCGTAATTGTTACAAATTGATGAAGAAACCTTCCTCAGGCGCAACCTGACTTCCTGAAGATAGGTGTTGAAATTTTTTTACAAAAGTAAATTCATTTAGTTTATTAGTCTATAGATAGTTGACTAACTTTTTCTAAGTGAACTAACTTTATAATTACGTAAGTTTCAATCAAACACTAATCAAGATTTTTTATTATGATTTATCACGATTAGTCACTATTTTGCAGTTACATAATGATGCAATTTAGCAGGGCCATACGCAGGATTTTTTCACCAGGGGGCAGTAAGGCCTATGCAAAAAATGTACCAAATATCCAAATGATAATTAATAATGACATTCTAAAAATCGTAAATATAGTTTTCTATAGTTGTGTATGGCCCTGCAATTTAGTATTAAATAATATAACATTTATATTTTCATAGGGAGGAACCATCAGCACAAGTTTAAAGAATTAATTAATATTAAATATGACATCATGAACAGAAAGTATTGTTCTTATATAAAATATTTTCAACAATCATTACATTGAGTATAGTATAAAATTTTGACGTATAAAATGTACATCTTTCAATGTTCAACAAACAGCAATGTAAAAAACCTAGTATATATAATAATCCCATCTCTTTGTATGAGTAATTTCACATTTTCCATAGACAAAAGTGTGTTTCCACGTGATATTGCCAATTTACTATTTTCCTTTAAATAGGATCAGTTCATTTAGTTCTCTACCAGTTGCAATTTAAACAAACTGTAAACTTTCAAATATAAACCTCCGAAAATATTCTCTCCTTGTAATTTGGGTTTCTTAGTGGATATTTTGTACCAAAGGATATATGTTTAAATGAGACAAAAATTGGAAGTTAAGCCCCCTACCCCTTTTAGACGACCCATTGGTGCATATCTATTAAACGGCTTAGTATTTCTACTGGAAGGTTTAGTATTAAAATCTACCAATATTTTTCAGGGCTTTTATTTGAAAGTTCAGTTATTCCTATACCCAGCTCTTGTCCCTATACCCAGGCGCCGTAGGTGTTGTGGGTGTACGTGGACTGTGCGGCTCCATTGACGATAATCCACCTTCACTCACAACGCTCATCGCTTTCTCTGAGCGTGCTATCGTTGACCCAGTTGAAAATCGTACATTGTTTTCTAACCACATTGCTGTTTTTTGTTCCATTTGTCTGAACTCTGTGTTTGTAAGACCTTCCAGCTGATCAATCTAGTGGTGGACAAATGAATGATAAATTGTCAATGGTATGTTGTGTTAGATTCCTTGCAACCACAAAATCATCATCACCACTATTACCAGCATCATCATCATTGATCGCCATCATCATCACTAGCAATATCATCATTATCAGCACTTCATCAGCAGCATCTTCATCACTATCACCAGGTGTAAAAAAAATACCTGTGGTTCTGGTTCCCGACCAACCCTATTTTTTTCTGCCGACCCTATTATTTTTTCAATGCGATTGACTGTGCGACCTTATTTTCTCCAGGTGGTTGCAGGCTGCTCATACAGCGTGCCAAAATGGCATCTGTTGTCACACTAATTATTGAACCAAATTGCCTAAATTCGTCCATAGGAAATACGCATCTCTAGTTAATATTGATGTCAGGACTCTACTGCAAATCGCGCAGGAAAAAACCCCGCCAAAACCATGAAAAAAATATTCAAGAAAAAAATTTATTTCCGACCTACCAACCCTAATTTTTCCACGATATGAAACCGGAACCACAGGTATTTTTTACGCCCCATCAGTGATGAATCAGTATCAATATCATCACCATTTCAACACCAACAATATCATCACTATCACCAGCATCCCCATCATCACCAGCAATATCACTGTGAGCAACACTATCTTCATCACCAGCAATTTCACCACCATTAATTTATTACCCACCTGATCTCGTTTCATTTGTCTCACTCCCAAGATGCCATCAATAATTCCAGCAATTGAGATGACAATGGCAAAACAACAACAGATGGCCAGCATGATAAACAACTTGGCAATTGTATTCATTTCATCACAGTCTCTCTTGTCTGAATCTAAAACATAAAGATGGATTTAAAATTTCAGGTAGGTTTGAGATATCTTTCTCAGGTAGTTCAGACACAAACGACAGCAGCTTATTGTAGAATACTACCTACATTTGACTTTACATAATCATGTTAAAACTTTTATCTCTTATTTCTTAAGCCTAGTGAAAATCTATCATGAAGGTCTTGACGTTGTCTTGGTAGTACCTTGTCCCATTGGGTCGTAATCCAAGCCATGGCTGTCTAGAGATTCATCACGACATTTTGATAAGGTAAGAAAATCTTTAAACCAAAATGCTCTTGGTAAAATAAACACCGCTTGAGCAATACACAATAATGCATTCAGGATATTGATTATAGAAAATGTGATGATCTAGAAAAAAACAAAATTTTGTGAACATGATTGGGTCATTCCAGAAATGATCCATACTCCCCCCACAGAGGAAATTTCTGCCGTCCGGAGGGGGGAGAAAAAATTGTTTCTGATAATAGTAAATGTATTAGGACATCTGAAGGGAGTAGGGGGGTTAACTTCGTATTTCCTCTGTGGGGGTGGTATGGATGTTTTCTGGAATGACCCATTATACTGTAACTATTAAGCATTAGTACTCTCCCCTTGATGAGTTAAAGACAGTGTGACTAACCCCAAATTATTATTTTTTGTATGTGTAATATTTGGGTCATTGGAAGAAGAAATGTAAGTTATCTTTATAATAAGAACTCCCATCTTGATCAACTTTTTCACAGTCAAATTTTCTGGATATTATGTCATTAGGTGAATTGCAAATTAGTCTTACTTTGTTTTTTGTACCAAAATTTCACCTAATGACATCATATCTGGAAACTTTGACAGTGAAAAAGTTGACCAAGATGAGGTTTTTTACTATAAAGATGCATTATTTTTCTTCTTAGAATGACCCAAATATTACACATACCAAAAATTATATTAATTAAATCGTCTGGTGTTAGACATGGTAAAATAATAAAGTAGGGAGAATTTGTGTGCAGTTTCACCGGTTATAAAAAGGTATACTAGAATCTACTAGTGTTCCACTAAACACTATTGTGCAACAGATGGTGGTTACACTGCAGTAGTAAGAGAGTGAGAAATAATGTTTATTCTTTTCAATATATGTATGTAGTTTATTTTTCTTGCCCCTGTAATTGTGAACAGTTTATGACCATCTCCTGCCGAGCACCATCAATAGTAACCTACCATGCCTCGTTTGCGCATCCACCATGCTGCAATTCCAAACCCACCAACAATTATTGGCTAAAAATAAAATTAAGCAAATATGACAGGTTTAGACATCATTGACTAAAAGCCAAGAAACTAATTTCCAGCAATAAATTCCACACTGCCGAGGTCAACAACCAACAATTGAATCAAATTGAAATTATGCTAGAAAAATAAGGCAAAAGTGGGGGGGGGGGGGG